TTTATTTACCGACGACACTCGTTGTAACCACCACGGGTTAAAGCTGCGGGGATTGGGTGTTAATGGTGCGTCGTTATCTTTACTGGTGGTTTAACGTGTGTTGTAGTTTACGTAAGTTAAGTTAGGTCGCTAGAGAGGGAAAAAAAAAAAGCTAGCTCGGGGAGCTAATGCAGCTAGCTGACGTTAGAGTAATGTCAGCGGTTGTTTCAGCAGTTTGCAAACGGCGTCACAGGCTCTCAACTCACTGACCCAGCTGCTAACGCAAGTAGTAAGTTACGCGATAAACTCGTCGGGTTTTACATCCCACTTTACTCGACAGAAAACAAAAGATAAAGTGTAAAATGTGAACAATCATCTGGATAACGTGAGCGTCGTTAGCTGCATCCGAAGTGACCGCTGATGTCAGTCTGCCCCCTGATAAGACAGTGATTGACACTTGTTTGCTTCCTCCACAGATGGCAATATAAATCAAGCCTACACAGATTTTATCCGGCCTGCCAAGTATCCAATAATACCCATCGCTCTTCTTGCTCACAGCCTAACATCCCCCCTCTTTTCCCTCCTCCACTTCAGGCACTTTCGCCGGACGATGGACGAGCTGGTCCACGACCTGGTGTCAGCCCTGGAGGAGAGCTCTGAGCAGGCTGCCCGGGGGGGTTTCGGTGATGGAGGAGACCATGCGCTGGCCGTGGGCTGCCTGCTGAAGAGACAGGCTCGGAAGCGGAGGGGGAGAAAACGCCGCTCGGACAACCCGCACCCGCCTTGGGAGACGGGCCACCTCAGCGAGGGTTCAGAGTCCAGCGTGGAAGAACATAAGGTGAGTTACTGTGTCCGCCATCACCGCGCCCAGCCCTGATTCAGAGGTGTACACACAGGCCTTTCTTTACACAGGAGACAAAACTGTGTCAACAAACCACCTGAAAGGTCCTTGAGCAAAACAAACATGCTCGCATTATTCTTTTCTTTCTCCTGTTCTACTGTCACCATCGGCCCTGGTATGTAGTGAACTCATATTGTTTCTTAAGTTGAATTGCCATTTTGTTTCACTTCCTTTTTTCTTTTAATAATTTAAAAATGAAATGAAATGAATGGTTACTTGAATTTGAATCCTTGTAAAAAAAACAGTGGGTGCAATGATTAAGAGATCTGGATCCAGGCTGCTGATATCTTAATCGATATTCCACACTGTTCCAAGAGCAGTGAAACCTTAATCTCTCCTAATCCTTCGGTAATTGTAATCTGTTGGTCTCCACATGAAGTAGGAATTGACCCCCGAGTGCAGATTCTTTGCATTTTAAGTGGCAGTTGTCTCTCTTCGTTACCGTCTTGTTTTCCGTGTTAAATAAATTGATCCTCACTCAGCTCTCGCTCTGGCCTAATTAACGTCCTCAAGTTTCTAAATTTAGCATCAGAATCACAGTCTGCTATTTACCGCATAACATGACGTTTGTTGCAGGACTACCGTGCCAGCACAGGGGGAGTCTCTGCTGCCAACAGCCATGCCCGCGACAACAGCGACTCAGATGAACAACTTGGCCCCAAACGGCGCACCCTCCTAACAGCCGACACAGGACGAAGCAAGAGGCCGCTTTGGCCGGATGACTTGGGTGTCTTGGGCTCCGCAGAGGGAACTCGCAGCCTTAGACGGAGACGTAAGGTCAAACGCATGGCTGTAGACCCGCCTGTAGAACCAGAACCACCCTCTTCCACCATGCTAGGGCCCCCACCTGTCCCCAAGGCCCGTGTTGGCAGCAGGCCGCACAGACTGGGTGCAAGTGAGGGCAGAGGGGCCATGGAGCTCTGTGCAGTTGGACTGGTGGGGCCGGGGGGAGGGAAAAACAGGGTGAAGAAGAGGAAACTGGCCACCCACAGGCTGGGAATGGAGGCGACAGATGAGGGGGTGGTGGTGGAGAGCGAGGATCCCATTTCTTCTCCGACGGAAGGGGGCAAGGACAAGATGGAGTTGGAGGAACAGAAAGGCTCGGATGAGGACATGAGTGACAGGTGGTTAGTGTTTTCACTTTACTTTTATGCCCTGTGTGTCCAGAGGTTGGACTCCTCGGTCTCTGCTTCTGGATTATGTATTTATGTGTGTGTTTGAGACACTGTATACCAACAGGTAAGGTCACTCTGTAGGGTTGGGTATCAAACTTCTTCTTCTTCTTCACTCCAAATGTGTCTGTTCTATTGAGTAAGACCGTTCAATACCAGACACTCTTATTATCTATATTACTTATTCTTTGACCAGAATTTTGCAAATGTATTATTATTAATTTAGCCAATTTTAGACTTCTTGTATTTAGGCAACATGTGACATTTTTAAAACCCTGGCTTCTATTGTTGAATGGAAAAAAACATTTATATGGTATTTAAGTTTAGTTTTAGTTTTTCTTCTAGTAGACAGGAATTGACTTCTTATTGACTGTTTGTTTGTTTGGCATAAAAAATCTTTTAATCTGTTTTTTAAGTTGCCGTCGTCTTCTCCTTCCTTTTCAGTGAGACCAGCAGTGTCAGTAACAGCAGTGATGGAGGCCTCTACACCAATGATGAGGGGAGGCAAGGTGCATACTGGAATACGTTTTTAAGATCATTGGTCTAACTCAAAACAAGTCTACACAGCTGGTATACAGTATGTTGGAAAATTAAAAATATGTAAAAACAACACAATTGTTGCATATGCACAAAAAAAAGGCGACCTGTTCTGTAGTCTGATTCTTTTTACAAGGTCTCAGACCTTCATCAGCTCATTAGGCCTGAGG